GTGACTTCCTCTAGTCTAAATTTCAGTTGCAGACACATCTGTGCAATTTTTGAATGCTCTTTAGCACATACAGTACTACTCCATCCAGCATGGTTCCAGGGAAAGTGCAGTAAGTGCAAGCACGGTGGTAAAAGGAAGTGCAGCGTGATAATGAAGGTGACAAGTGTGTGCAGAGCAAGTGGCACATAGTTGGGAAGCTGAGGTAAGAGGATCCCTGCGAATTCCAGGTCGGCCTGGACTACAAAGTGAGTTCAAAGCCTGTCTCAAATAGACCAAAAAAAAAAAAAAAAAAAGGAGAGCAAAATGGTTAAGCAGGTGGTTTTGAAGAAAATGAGCATTATTGAAGGAGGAAACCGTAGCACAACATCTGTGTGGCTGATCTGGCCGCAGTACGAGATAGAGGGGTCGACAATCTCAACTGTTTCGGAGAATAAAGATGCCATCAAAAAAAACGAGGTGGCAAAAGGAGTAATGATGTCAACCAGGCAGTGCCAGAAGAGGTGGGAAACTTCTGTTAGTGTGGTCAAATGAGAAACAGCTGGCAGGGGATAGCTTTAATGACGCTGTGATCTGTGAGAGCCAGGAAGTTGTACGGTGCTTTGCTGCGTGAAACCCCCCTCCAAGTGCAATGAGTGATGAATGAATCTAAAGCCAACAGATGGTAGTTCGATATGCTCTGCATGAGAAGTGGCCTCTATAGTCTGATAAGACATGGTGAGGCCTCTGGTTCTGACAAGGCTGTTACAGAAACCTACGAGGTGTTTGTGGAATTCACGAAGGCAGAGGATGTGCTGCCCACAGAGTGATCAACTGCTGTGAAACGTGGCTCTTCTGGGAGGAAATGTGGAAATGTCTCACAGAGGGAGGGTACTGCCAGGGCAGGTGAACCTGCAGAAGGTGTGTACTGAAGAGCATTCTGCTAAGAGGAAGACAGGAGGGGTGGCAGGTCACACTGATGTGATAAAATCCATTGTGGAAAGACATACCCTCCCCAAATATCTCAATGAACAGAGTGCTGAATCCCACGAATGATAACCTGGTCTCTCATTTCCAGACCGTTATGCAGTGCAGGTTGACACAGTGACTACAGGTTTCTCATAAAGATTGAGCCTGCAGCTAAGTGACAGTGAGAGAAAACCCATGAAGATTCCCCGGTGTTCTTATGGAAGGGGACTCTCCTTCCAAACAGTGAGGCCTCCTTTCCTGGCCTCTAGCAGTCACCTCAAGCAAGGTGACAGTATTCTCTTCATAATGTACTATATCATACTTTATTTTGTTTTCAGGTTTGGTGTGTGTGTGTGTGTGTGTGTGGCTAAAAGAATACATCTGGGCTGGGCATGATGGTGCACATCTGAAATCCCAGGACATAAGAGGCTGAGGCAGGAGGAGCATCATGAGTTTGAGGCCACCCTGGGCTACATAGTGAGTTCAAGGTTAGCTTGAATTACAGAGAAATACCTTATCTCAACAAACAAACGAATACAACTGGTTCAGAATGGATGGACCTTAACTTTGAGCCTTATGGGGAAATCTGATTCAGTTTGTGACCAATTCTGTTCAGACTAAATTGATTTGAATTATGGAACAAATTGCATTTGTGAACTGAGGTACCACTGCAGGCAGAGTTGTCAAACTGGTGAACCTCACAGGGGGGAAGGGCTATCTGCAAGATCCAAGCGCTGTCTCCAACACAACAAGCATCTTCTAAGCGACTCAGGTGGCTCCTCATGCCCAGCTGCGAGATGAGCAGTGAGTAGAGGATCAGTGAGACACACAGTTTAAGATTGCTAATAGTCACATACACAAATGCCAGATTAGACACAGAGGTGATAATAAATGACTATCGAAGATGCCTAAATTCAACTTATGCTACTGCTTCTACTTTTTGGTTTTTTTTTTGGAGACAGGATCTCACTGTGTCTTTCAGGCTGGCCTCTAACACATGGCAATCCTTCTGCCTCGGCCTCCCGAGTGCTGGTTGACAGGGAAGCAACACTATTCCTGGCCAATTTATGCTCCTTGATTTATATGACTTCTCACCACAAGGTCGCAATCCTCCAAGGAGTGAAATTCAAACAACTTGGCAGCTCCAGATAAACACAGAGAAGCTCTCTGGAGAAGCTTGGGTTTCCAGGCCAACGCTGCCTAAGTTCCTGCCCTCAGGCTCTGGCCCTGCGGCAGCTCCTGCAGCACTTGAGCAGTGCTGGTTTGATCTGGGGGGGGGTCTCCTTTATTCTACCTCACATTGCTGTTCAGATCCTGCTCTGTCCTCTGAGACCACCTGCAAGCCAGAGCTGGTGCTGTGGTCTAAGGGAAGCCCTGGCAGGATGGAATGGTGGGGCAGGAGAAGGCTAGAGATGGCTCTTCTGGGCAGCCCTGCCTGCCCTGGACCAGGGCTCCCTCCCTCAGCTCTTGATTCAAGGTAAGCACTATCACTTCTGCTGGTTCCCTTTATCCCAGCTCACAGACGCACTGAAGACTGGATGGCATGCAGGAAGCCCCAGGCGAATGAAAACTGAGAATGACAAGGACACAGCCAGTGACAGTGGTTCCAGTGAGCATCCATGAGGTCCACATTTCTACCGTCCTCTCCCCAGGTGCCTCCGCCCACTCACGGGTTGGGGATCCAGAAGGAGACCCAGGACCTTGAAACCACCCTACATTGTCAGCAATTTTTAACTTTTTTCTTTCTGATTTTTTTTAACTTTCCTATTTTAATGTTTTGAGACAGTGTTTCTTTAAATCACCTGGGCTGGGCTTGAATTCAATCCTCCTGACTTAGCCTCCCTAACTGCAGGAATTTGCAGGTGTGCACCACTGTAGAGAGGCCACACTGACTCCATTTTGTCCCAGACACATCCAGTCGACAATGTTATGGGAAAAGTGCAGGTCTTGAAACATCACCCCCATCCCAAGGCATGTGGTCCTGTAAGGACAAGAAGCCAACAAGTTATATAACCTAACCATGTGCAATTTGAGTTTCTTTATTCTTTATCTCAATAAAAGCTACTTCTTTAGGCTGGCTGGGCAGTAGCGGTTTTGCTGATCCTTTGTGTGTGTGACCCTTTATTTTCCCTTTGCTTGCAGAACCTCAACATACCACACCTAGAAACACAAGATTTCTTGACTATTTTGGTTTTTGGAAGCAGGGTCTTACTATTTAGTTCAGACTGACTTCAAACTCTTGGCAGTCCTGCCTCAGCCTCCCGAGTTTTGGGATTAGCAGGTGTGTGACATCATCCAGCTAGTGGGTCCACTCAATAGTTCTGGGAGTCACTGGGATGAAGAGGCAGCAAAACTAGGGTACCTTATCCATAATAGTCCCTATTGGGAGTCATTTTAGATTGATGGGAGAAATGCTTTTGTTCCTTCCCAAGATCCAGCTGCCACTACCACCCCACGGAAGGGTCACTGCTGTCCAGGCAGATGGAGAGTGGGCCAGGCAGGATGAGCAGGGAATGGACAGGAATTGAAACTCCCCTGTAACTGGAGGAAGAGTACAGGATTAGGGTACCTATAATGCTGCAGTTGCCATGCCAGCTGATGGACAGTGGCTTGTTCTGTCCACTGTCCTGGGATGCTGTCAGCACAGGTCCTGGAGGCAGCCAGCATGACAGAAGGGCCAAACACCACAGGGACTAATGAGGCATAGCGGAAGCACCGTGGGCCTGGAGCCCAGAGGCTGATTGGCAGAGACTGACCTCTGCTGGACACTGTCTGGCTCCCACCTGAAGGTGTCCCCTCCCTGGTGTGGTTCTGATACCAGGTCAATGATCTCAAGGAGCAAAGCACTTATTGGTGGCTGGTCCACAGTGTAGTGGTAGTACTCTGGACTCTGAACTCAGTGGCCTGAGTTCAAATCTTGGTGGGGCCTTTGTGGTTGTCTTACCTCCTCCCCACCCACGTACTCCCATTTGGTCCCCAGCCTTCATTGTAATTCCGAGACAAGAGTCTTGCTAAGTAGCTAAAACTGCTTGGGCTGGGATTACAGGCCTTTGCCACCTACTGACCTGATACTTCACAAAAGCCCTTGCCCATTTTTGGGCCAAGTATGATTTGCTTTTTAGGCTAAGAGTAAGATTTTGGCCCCTGTGCACGCTCTTGTTTCAAAACACATGCTCACACTCTGAGTTCGGTGTCCCTGCTGGCCATGGTGGTGCACACCTGGAACCCAGCACTTGGGAGGCTGAGGCAGGAGGTTCACTGCAAGTTCAACGGCAGCCTGGGCTACACAGTGAGTTTAGGGCCAGCCTGATGACACAGGAAGACCTGGTCTCAAAGCACCACCAAACAAACAGTCTCCCCATCCTTACCCGCCCCCCCCCATATCCTAAGGTGACACAAGATCTTTGCAGCATGGATTCATAATTCTTATTACTTACTTTGAAAAATGTTGAATGAAACTAGGAAAACACCCAAATGCTGTGTGCAAAGAAATGATGTAGAATTACTGGTGCTGGCCCATCTGGGAGTTGAGTGGACCCAACAGTGTGAGGGCAACACGACCACACACGAGACCACAGGACACCTCACAGCAAGCCACCACCTATTCCACACTCATAGCTGGCACCAGATGCAGCAGAAAACAGCAGATGACACAGGGCAGAAGTCCCAGCACAGACAGCAGGGAGAGTCCCAGCTCTCAGACCAGTGTGTGTGCATGACTGTGTGACTGAGAAGTTCAGGTTTTGCCAGGCCATAGGCACTGAACAGCAGAGGCCAGCCCCAGTGCAGAGAGGGACAGGAACCTGGGTTTGTCCTCCCAGAGCTCCACCCTGCAGGCGCTGTCCATAGGCCTCACCTCTTTGACAACTGCTCGCACTGCACTGTGGGGAAAAGGTCTCTTCATGCTGCCCTGGGCTGTGTGCGATGTCATGGGGAAGGCAGTTCCCTCATCACTGCTCCTGGCCAGGAGATGTCAACTAGAGGCAGCAGGACAGCACCTGAACCCTGCACCAGCAGAGGCCCAGCTTGGATTTATTTCACCTGGCTCACTCCACTCCACTCTCTTCAGCTGTTTATTTCATATCAGTTGCTTTGGGGATTAACACCCAACTATATATAGATTGAGAGCAAGAAACAAAAACAAAAAAAGCAGTGGAACACACGTCCAGTTACCATCCAAACAGGTACACGACAGAGATGAAGGCCACCACGTAGTGACAGACCCTAGTGCCCCCGTCCTCAGGCACTTGTAGCCCAGATTCGCCTGAGCCCAAGGCAGCACAGGGCCCTGTGCCTTGTGTCCTAGGCAGCCAATTTTGCTGGCAGATACACTGCTTCCTTGCAGGGTGAGCTCACACCAGCAGGGTAGTGGGCTGAGGGGTGCCATCAGGACACAAGGGCGGTGCCAGACCCAGCAGACCTGCTGAGGAGAGAAACCCTGTCTAGGGAAAGGTCGTGTGGAGAAGCCGTCCTCCAGTCACGTAGGGCCCTGCTTTCCTTCTCCCAAGCTACGGCAAGGCTAAGGAGCTGGGGTCCTCTTGGCCATGTGGCTCCAATGGGCACCCCTCAGTTCTCTAGTCTGCTTGTGACATCAGTGGCTCTCGTCAGGCCTTGTCCATGCCATGAGCTCAGGTGAGTGCAACTCAAAGCCTGGGTGCCCAGGGTCGGCCTGAGGCCCAAAACCCCAGCGCCCACAGGAGGCTGCCCTGGCTGGGTGTGGTAGGGTGGTGGGGAGTGACTGTGGGTTCCCGAGGCTCACTGTCACCAACTTACAATGATTTTCAAACTGTAGGAGTGAAAATGAGAGCCGCCTAGGCTGGAGTGGGAGTAAGCGCTTACCCCAAAAGACCCAGCCCAGAGGCCAGCAGTGTCTCCGGCACCGTGGCACAGCCCTGCTGCCGCATTTCTCCAGCGCGGAGCTGAAGAGTCAGCCCAGCCACCCCAACGCCCCAGCCCCTCTGGGGATGCTCTGAGGTTTTAAAATCTAGCAGAGGGTAGTCTGTCTCTGCTGCTGCTCTTTGGGATTTTTCTCACAATCTTACGATGTAGGGACACTTAGCCTGGGAGGTTCTCCCGTGAGAAACTCTACTCCACACATTCGTGATGAAGATAGCACCACACACCCCAGCTGTCGGGAGCAGGGAACTGGCAATCCGGAGCAGCCAGCAGGGGTCTCCATGGAGGGCCGCACCTCATCAGCAAGCTGTCCTCCATGCAGCCTGCTCCCTTCACCACTTCATGTCCAGGCCAGCACTGCAGAACTCGGGGCTCTGGAAGGTGGTGTGCAGGGTCTCATGGGCTCGGAGTGAGTCAGTGCCCTCCAGCCACTCCTGGTACAGCTCTTGCACGTGTGTGCTGGACTCGGGCGGCTGCACAGGGATGTCTGCATAGATGCCCTCCATCTGGCGCAGCAGGGACTTGTCCATGTGTCCATCCTTGGTCTGTGCTTGGCCTCTGCCGTTTAAACATCCTAGAAGAGACACAGGTGGGAGTGGTGTCATGAAGCCTCACCTCAGCGGCGGTCAGGGCAGGGAGGAAGGACAGGGATGTGCAGCCCTGAGGCCTGAACCCATAGCTGGGCTCCAGCACGCAGTGCCCTGTGTACCTCTTCCCATCCTCACGAAGGGCCCAAACCAGCTTGCTTCCAGGGTTTGTATCTGGGTGTTCCCACCACCCCCAAAGCCTCATGTGGTCACAGAGGCGGCTGAATCTAGCATTTGTGATTGGTTCATTGTCTAGTGCTGGGATTGGCGGTGTGAGTGCTGCACCCTCCCAGGCATGGGTAACTGGCATAGAATATAAGGGAGGGAAGGAGGTGTGCTTTCCCCTTTTCGCCCTCTTGTTGCTGGTGGCCCCCATGAACAGCTGTCCCTTAGCCACATCTCCCTGCCTTAGAGCCAGCAGAGCATGGACCGAAACCTCCAAAAACTATAAGCTAAATAAACCTTCCCTTCCTTCATTTTGGGCATCAGGTGTCTTGTTTCAGCAATGAGAAAAGTAACTGAGACACAGCTCATGGTTTTACATTAAGCCTTCGAGAACTGCACAGCTAGCCCTGTAAATCCGGTTCCTGGCCTCCCTAGAATCACCCAAGCCAGGAAAGTTACCTGCTAGCTGTGACCTCTGAGGTTCCTGTGCTGCCTCAGTGTGTAAATTGTCTGGGGGTGAATGGGGATGGGACAGTCCCGAGCCCCCAGGGGGCTCAGAGCAAACAAGTATCTCTGGCCACTGCCTACTCTTAGAGGTGCAAATGATGCCACCTCCCGTCTGTGCCCACTCAGCCCCCAGATCTGTCCTGGTGAGCCCCTGGGACCCCTCCACAAGATCCCTGAGTGACAGGACCAAGACAATGGCCCCACCTCATCCTGTGACTATTCAGCGAGCCAGCCTGCCCTGGAGTTTCTGCCTGCTTCTCGTATCCCTCTCCACTCAGTGATACAAGGTCCCCATTCAGCAGAGATCAGGGCTCCCTTCTCCCTGACTCTCACTCCTGTGCTATCTGCAGGCCAGGACCCTCGCCTCACCTGCCTGGGTCACCATATCCTGCGATGGTGCTATCTCCCTCCTGTAGCAGCAGGGGAGCCATGGTTGGACAGTACACTTCCCACTGTCCCTTCACAGGCCCCAGACCTGGCTCCCCCTGTCTCTGAGCCACCATAGCATTCCATTCCTGCCTCCAGACAGGCTCCAGAGCAGGCTCAACTGGCACCACATGGGCTTCCTCGTGGCATATCCCCAAGGGAATGTGAGGCCTGTCCATCTGTCCATGCATCACACCTCATGACAGGAAGGGATGACTCACTACAAGCTCAAGAGTGACCCACCCTGCAGGGCTATCGATGCACTCACCTCCAGGACACGCAAGGACCTCTACAAAATGGTACGGGAACTTGCCCTTTCTGAGCTTCAGGACCAGGTTCTGGACGTTCCGAAACCCGTATGCCGCAGCAAAACGCAAGAGAACCTCTCCATTCTTTTCGAGGGTGACCTCCTGGAAATCTTTGTTTCTGTAAAACAAACAACAAGCATGCTGTCAAGTCCTCCATGACTGCAGAGCCATTTTTCTTTTTTTTTTTTTTTTTTGCAGAGCCATTTTTCAATCAAAGCTGGGAATGTCAGCGAGAGTCAGGAGGTGACACAGAAGGCTGGGGGTAGATCCCCATAGAGCAGCCCCTCACATGCCACAATCAGGTATGACCCGCACCCGTGCCCCGCTTTGGCACCTCAGGGGGCAGTAGGTGATCTCCTCCACGCGCTCGTTGAACAGCTCCTTGGCCGCATGTCGGAAGACATGTGCCAGGTGCCCATCAGAGCCAGCTCCATCATGGCGCCTCATTGCGACCTCCTCATCTCCGAACCTGGCCAGGCAGAGAAGGTTAAGTCCTCCATTGAGGCTGAGGAAACACCGTGGGGGCAGGAGGGGCACAGACCCCATGGTATGGAGTCAGAGGGGCCACGCGAGCCAAACCCTCTACGAATACTGAAGCTTTGAGGAAAATTGCACTTTAGCGACACACAATTTCATCTTGTGTTTCGCCTGAGGCTGCAGGCAAGGTCATGTTTGATACTGGCTCAATCATTTACTCTCCTTTAGCTGCGGCGCTCACAAGTGCACAAAAGACTGCATGACAAAGTGTGGTGTGAAAAAGCACCTGCCGGCAGGGAGGCTGCAGCTCTAGCCAATCCCACCTCCCGCAGGAGGGCAGAAGTACAGCCCCGCCAGTGGTACATGGAGCACGTGCAGGCCGCAGTGCAGTGCTCCGGGCATGACACCCAGGCGTAGCTTGAGCAGTCTGTGCTGGATGTCAGGGTCATTCCACCACGCAGAGGCTGGCATTGTGCTCAGGGGGAAACGCAGCACCGGATGCAGGAATATAGGACGATGGCAGGCATCTGCAGCCCTGCCTTGAGGGTCTGCGCTGCCATCAGAGGAGATGCCCACTGAGACCCTGGCAGCTCTGGTGAATGGCGACCCCTCCAGGTCTCGACCACATTTACTTAAAAAATGTGGACAGTGTGGCTGGGTTACAAAGTAAAGTACCCTGGGGACTGGCAAGTGACCTGAGAGCTCAAAGGTCACCCAGGCAATCAGAGGACTTCCCACAGGAGCCACTTACAGAGTGTCCACAGCAGCGTCCTTCACTGAGAGTCCACTCTGGTCCATTATCTGAGCGACCTCACCTGGAGACAGACAAGACGCGTGAGGACAGTGTGGACTGACAGCCAGGCTCTTCTTCCCTGGGAGGACACTCTACACTAGTAAGCAGGGACACAGTCCCACCATGTACAACCTTCTCCAGAAAGCACGAGTGACAACAGCAGTGTCACAAGATGAAAAGCACTCATGGAATACAGGAATAGAATTCTTCTTTCAGGTTTGTGCTGGTATTGTTCAGACCACTGAATACAGGTGTCTTGTGCTCTGGGTGAGTAATTTGGGGGTGACAATGTACAGTATATATAGCACTGTGTTTTGAAATTTTGTTGTAGTTTTTTCTTTTTCTTTTTATCCTTGAAATAAAGTGGATTTGGAAAAAAAAAAAAAAAAAAAGAATTCTTTTAGCCCTTGAACTACAAGCAATTCCTCCATGTTGTTTCCAAGTGTAAATTTTTTTCCCTTTGGTACCAGGAATCGAACTCAGGATCTCATGCTTGCCAGGCAGGTGTTGTGCCACAGAGTTCTATCTCCAGTCCCTAAGTGTGAATCTTTTGTGTATGACACACACATGCCACACTTGATCGATATGCAGCTACTGTGCAAGCAGAACAGCTGAAAATCAGAACCACTTTCTATATTCCCTTCTATCCAACAGTCCCGAGACAAAAAAGCTTTTCCAAGAGAAACGAGAGGCTAATCCATTTCTGTGAGCCAGTGGCAGCCATGTAGGCTGGGAGGAGAACCAAGAAGCTAACCCCTTCCTGTGAGCCAGTGGCAGTCATGGACTGGGAGTCGAAACAAGAGGCGACCCTTCCTGTGGCCAGCATATGGGTGGGGAGGGAAGATGAGTCATGCCCACTCCCACCGCCAACAACCGGCTGATCTCGAAACATGCAGGCTGAGATGACAGCCACTGAAGTAAGCAACAACTCAGTGCCTGTGTTATTGAACTGACCTGCAGGCCTGTAGGTGGTGGTCTGAGCATCTATTCAAAGGGTAACAATACGCAATATAGCAACTATGGGGGTCTCCTTCTGAAGGGGGCAGCCACTGTTAATTCCCTATTACCTTGTTTTAAAGTCCTGTATTGTTTTCCTTGTTTGGTTTTATTCTATTTTATTTTGTTTGATTTTATTACATGTGAGGCATGGGAAGATACTTTGAAGATAACAAGATATATTATAGTAGCCATTGTTGACTTCCTACTGCCTTATTTAGAAGTCCTGTATCATTTTCACTGTTTTGTTCAGATTGGTTTTATTCTGTTCTATTTTGTTTGATTTTATTATGTCTGGTGATATGTGGAGAGCCATTGAAGTTGAAGATTGATCACATTAGTGGGGCTAAAGCAAGGCCTGCCCTAACAACACAGCCCAAAACAAACCACGTAAACAAGCTGTTCTAGCTCCAAGAAGGCAAGAAGCCTCTACCAGACAGGCAAACAAGTTGCTAGGCAGTGGGGCTGAAATTGACATCGTCCTCTTGCACCTCTTGCATGTATAAATAAATGTGCTACAGTGGTTGAGCAGTTCCTTCTCGCCTGTCAGGAGAAGGGCCCCACCTGACCTTGACCTTTCTCTTTTCTCTATTTTCTCATCATCTCAGTGTCCTCTCCACTCTCCCAGGAACAGCTAGAGCTGCAGCTGTTTACTACAATGGCATGGACAACTATTTTGAAGATAATGAAAGGCATTACGGCAGCCATTTTTCCTATTGTCTTGTTTCAGAGTCCTGCATTGCTTCCACTGTTTCGTTTTGATTGGCTTTATTCTGCTTTGTTTGGTTTGTTCACTTTAAAATAAAATTTAAAAAATGCTTTCTCTCCCAAGACACAGAACCAGCTAGAGACTCTAAAAAGTAACATCTGAAAAGTGCCACTGGCATGGTGGCTGACAGAAATGTCACAGGAGCAGAGGTGTTATTTTCCACTCTACCATGAATGTAAGAATTTCTCTTTTCTGTCACTCTAGGGTCACAGGTGACATTCTCAGCCCAGTTGCCCGAGTGATTCTCCAGGACACCTGCCTATCTGGAGGAAGGTTCAGAGGAGACAGGACTCTGCCGAAGGACATATCACCCTTCCCTTCACAGACCCTGAGCTGTCGAGTGCCCAGGTGGTTCAGTCAGGGCCCTTGACAGTGTCCAGCCATAACTTCCCACCTCTCACCTGATGTCAACACGCAGTCAGTACCTCGGGCACCAGGCGCAGCAGTGGAGAATCCCTCCTGAAGAGCCTCCAGCTTCCTATCGTAGCAAGGGGCCACGACGACATGGAAAATCTTCTCTGGAGGAAGGTTCTGAGGACATAGTGTGCCATTCTTTTTTTTTTTTTTTTTGTCTTTTTCGTTTTTATCGGTACCGGGGATCGAACTCATGACCGCCTGCTTGCAAGGCAGGTGCTTATGCCGCTGAGCTAAATCCCCAGCCCCGAGTGTGCCATTCTTAGGGCTGGTGTGGAAGCAACTAGAGCAGCTTCTAGTTAGTGCCCAAAGCAGGAAGGCGTGAGGGACTACAGAGTGCCACCCTCTGCCCCACCATACCTCTTGTGACACCATCTCCCCATAGCTAGGCAGGGACTCCCTGCTTCCTCCACTGCACCACACCTATCCATGCACATATGCTGCCTCCCTCCAGACAACTGCATGCACCATGGACTCCTCAGGGCCCAGTTGCCTGAGGAGCCTCCCAGGAAGGACCACGAAGCCAAAGCCCCTTTATTCCTGAACCTGAGTACATGGATAAAACAGGTAGGCGTGGACGTGTGCTCTACCTGACATACTTGCTGACTTTTTTTTTGTACTGGGGATCCAACTCATGACCTCGAGCTTTCCAAGGAGGAACTTGTGCTGCTGAGCTAGATCCTCGGCCTACTTAAAGCTGCTCAAGTGATGCCCTCCTGCCTGCCCCTCTCTGGGCACCGTACTGACACAACCAGGTGTTCCAGGGCAAACCACAACTGGGCAAAGAACAGCCAGCAGTGACTCAGTGACACTTGTGTGGGGCATGACAGTCCCCAGGGGAACCTGCCTCAGCCACAGTGCCGTGAGGGAATTAGGCAAGCAGAGGCCTGAGGCCAGGCTCAGGCTCACTGTTCCTAGCAACACCTGCAACTGGCTCAGAGCTGAGTGCCAGCAGGCAACTGCAGGCAACAGAAGCAGGAAAATCTCCCCAGCTGACTCCACATATGACCTGGCAGCATGTTTGTAATGGGCCAATGTGGGGGACCATGAGCTAAGCCCAAGAGAAGAAAATAAGGCTTCCCGGAATGTGTGGCTCCTACAGGGCAGCTGCAGGTGTGTGGGAGATCCTGGCATGTGCTGTCTCCTCCAGTCACCACAATGCCCAGATATGCTCCTCTGAAGGAGAGGACAGCAGCAGTCTGGGACTGGGGAGCTGCAGCTACCAACAGATCGGCAGGCGTGAACCCCAGGCTGAATCCTGCTCTAAAAATATGTGAAGACAGGGTCAAGACTAGGGCAGAACCCACAGAAGCCACTAAGGGAGCCACGTGGTACCTATGGTCTGAGGGAAAGGTGTGGCAAGAAGTGACATTTGGTTCCCCAAGTGACAGCCACCCTGGGCCCTTGCCAGGCTTCCCCTGGCAGCATCTCTGGAGTTGGCCTGGGGCCTTCCTCTCACACACTGGGTAGAGGATCTAGAAGAAAAGGTTAAAGAGAAAGGCCAAGGTGACAACAGTGAGACACAGATGGATGTGGCTAGCAGGCACTACAGGCTCTGGTCCGGAAGCCACAGCTTCCAAGGCTTCACCCTGGAGGCTGGGTCATCTCTTTCTGACCCAAGAGCTTCCCTCTGAAGAGCAGCTTACCTGCTGTTTGGCGAAGTAATCCTTCACTAAGGAGCCCATGACTTGTTGTGGGGACTTGGCGGTACACAGATGGGGGGTGACAGGGCGGCCCAGCACCCGTTCAGCATATCGGACCCAGCCTGGGGAGAGAGTCCACAAGGTCAGTAATTGGCCCCTCAGCCCAGGGAGAGCCAGGCCTGCTCGGGGGCCCCAGTGGATGATCCTGACCTATCGCCCGTCCTTTGTGGTTCACTGGTGAGTCTAGGGAATTGTCAAGACTCACGGTCACTAGGAATGAGAGTTCCCTGTAGGCTCCAAAGGGAAAGCACCAAATGAGAGAAACATGGAGCTGGGACAGTTGTTCCCCAAAAGAGGGAAAGAAAACAAGCTTCCAGGAGCACACATAAAGCAGCTAGCAGGTTAGCAATGAGAGATCCACCACACCAGTTGTGAGGTTTGGGATGCTGAGACAAGCAGCCACAGATTAGGCAGTGACGCAGAAGCTCCATGCTTACCAAACTCTGCTAGTCTGCTGGACAGAACCCCACTTAATTTTTTAGAGCAGTGAAATTTGCGTTCCTTAAGGAAACTACCAATATTAAGTGTATGCTGTGCTTCCTTCCACTCTGTAGGGCTCACTCTCGTCTCCTGAGAAGCAGACCTGCTCAGGAGCCAGCTAAGCTCACAGTCTAAGCCCCTGCAGAAGCCAAGCTCATCCCACGCTCCTGAGCGCTGAGTTGGAGAAGGAAGGCAGTCAGTGCTGTGACCAAACCCCCTGGCCCAACCTCCTGATTCACACAAAACGCAGAAGCACGAGCAGAGGGCACTGGAGCCTAGAGCCAGCTACTGCTGGGAGAGGCTAGAGCCTGATACTTCCCAAGCGGGAGAAACCCGAGGGCTCCACACAGGGTCCCAACCCCACCAGAGCAATCGAAGAGCCTTGGTGTCACCTACATGAATGCCCCTAAATGCTCTAAAAGCACTCATGACAGAAGCCACTCAAAGGAGCTGCAGGGAGCAGGATGTCCCCTCGGCCCACCTCCATGCTCTGTAGTTTAAGAAGGGAAAGAGGAGTTATTACACAATACAACTTGGTGCCAACAGACCCTAGACATGGGCTTGAGGACATTAGTAGTGAGCTTGCGGGCACCTGGGTGAAAACTGAGCAGGCCTCAAGTACTGTGCAAGGTAAAATCAGGCAAGCAGCAAGAGGGGAAACAAAACAAAACCAAACCTAAAACAATAAAACCCTAAAAAAGCCATGTGTGGGGGTGTGTGGGGGATGAGGTGTCACTTTGTAGGCCCAACCCCCTCTAACCTGCAATTTACAATAGCCGCCCTGGTATGCGAGAAGGAGGTAGAACGGGAATGCCTGTTCTCAGTGAGCCCTCACCCTCTGGAATCCATACTGTGAGCTGGCTTTGTTTTGCAGAAGTCTTGAGGAAGTGGCTGGCCACCCTTTGTGACACTAACAGCAGACAAATTAACAACATTCTTGAGCTAATGAATTTCTTCCTGGGCTAGAGAAGTTGTGAGAACTGGTTGTGATTATTTACTTCACTTAGATAGTTTTAGAATAAACATTGTAGTCTGTCACGTTGTAGCTTGCCACAAAGAATGCCTTTTCACTACTTAATTATCTGGGCTCTGTGAACTGATCGGGTTTACTATATATGAATCCTAAAATAAAGATTGTGCGTACAGTGCAGTGCAGTGCAGTGTAACGCGGTGCAGACAGCAAAGGTGTCTCTCCTGTCTTTCTTTTCCAAGCGCTGTACCCCCCGTGTCCCGACAAGGCGTGCGTGTTTACCTTGCCCGGAGTTCAGAGTGCTCTAGACACTCACGACAAGTGGCGCCCGAATTCAGGGACTCCGAAGGTCGCTTAGGAAGGTAAGTATAATTTTATTACGGGGAAATGGGACAATCTGCTTCCTCTCCTTTCTTAAAAATTCTTAAACATTTATTATCTATATATGGCATATCGCTCAGGTCAGCTGACTTGGATATGTGTATTGATACAATTAAAGAATATAATCCTTGGTTTCCAGATGAAGGAACTTTGGATGTAGAAGTATGGAGGAAGGCAAGGGTTAGTATAGAAAGGGCTATGCAACAGGAGGAGAAGATTCCTTTACGTTTTTGGGCTATTTGGTCGGTTGTGTACTCTTTATTAAAAGCTATGGAAGATGAACATATTGTAGAAAATCTTCAACTAGAAATTAAGCCAGTTATTCAGGAATTGCCCCTCACAGAGGAGGAGCAGAATGTAGTTCAAAATGACGCTATCGCTTTAAGTAGTGAAAAGGCGTCCAAACTAAAAGTAAAATCCACTACAGCCGACTCAGCTTTAGCTGCCGCAGCAATATCAAATTATGACAATCGCCCAATTTTACAGGCTATACAGCATTTAACACAAGAGGTGAAACAACTCTCCGTTAAGCAGAACCCGCCTGTAGTTCCCTCTGCACCTCCTCCATCTAACCCTAATTGGAGTAAAGCCAAGCTAGCTTTGGCTGATTTACCAAAATTAGGGGATTCTGATGAGGAAAAGCCTGCCTTTGCTTTCCCTGTAATCAGACCTCAGCCAATAGATGGAGAGGCAGTTCCCCCTAGATGGGAAGCATTTAATATGGATGATTTAGCAAAATTAAAAAAGGCTGTAACCCTTTATGGCCCTCAGGCTCATTACACTAGAGAATTAATAACATCGGTAGCAGATCACTATGGTAATCTTGCTCCTTATGATTGGAAAGCCTTGGCCAAAATTCTTTTAAAGGAGCCAGAATATTTACAGTGGCACATGTGGTTTATGGAAGGTTGTGCGAAAAAGGCAAGACAAAAATGCTGATATAGTGATAGAAATGTTTTAGAAGATATTTTAAAAACTTTACCTCAATATTTTTCTCCATTTGGACTTGTAATAGCACAGGATAAAATTCAAAAGGAAGAAGTTAGTCATTATTTGGGATATATTCTTACTAGACAAAAGGTGATTCCACAAAAAATGTCTATTAGGAGAGATAAGTTATCCACTTTAAATGATTTTCAAAAATTATTAGGGGATATTAATTGGCTTCGTCCCACACTAGGTATCCCTACCCATGCATTACAACATTTGTTTGCTACTCTACAGGGCTCTTCAGATCCATCCAGCCCTCGTTCTTTAACAGCAAAAGCAGAGCAAGAATTACAGTTTGTAGAACAACGAATTAAGGATGCATTTTTAATTAGGATTGATCCTAAATTGCCTCTAACTTTATATATTATTAATACTTTTCAATATCCCTCTGCAGTTTTAGGTCAAAATGCTATGCCAGTAGAATGGGTATTCACTAAAACTAAGCAATCTAAAAATGTTATGCCTTATATTGACATGGTTGCAGCTTTAATTATGAATGGTAGAGCTCGTTCTATAACTTTGATAGGAGAAGATATAAACAATATAGTTATCCCTTTAACTAAGGAACAATGGGAATATTTGTTGTCAATTACTGAAACCTTACAAATTGCTTTAGCAGATTTCATGGGAACTTTTTCATATCATTTTCCTAAAAGTAAATTATGGGATTTTTTTAGACGTCAACAATTTGTGGTTAATACCTTATTAGCTGTACAGCCAATTCCACAAGCTTTGACTATATTTACAGATGGATCTAAAAATAAAGCTGCATATTGGACTCAAAAATCTTACTGGGTACGTCAGACAAATTTTAACTCTGTACAACAAAATGAACTTTTTGCTATATTACAAGTGTTTTTAGATTTTCATAACCAACCTATTAATATTATAGCCGATTCGGCCTATTCTGTTGGAGTAGTGACAAATATCTATTCAGCTGTGTTATATTCTAATAAGCCTGCTTTATTGTCTTTATTTCAAAATTTACAAATACATGTTCAAAAAAGAAATCATTCTTATTTTATTACTCATTTACGTTCTCATTCTCAGTTACCCGGACCATTAGTATCAGGTAACAATGCAGTGGATTCCTTAGTTATGTTCACCACACCCGTTGAAGAACATCAATTTAATCATGCAAATGCAGGACATTTGCATCTTAAATATAAGATACCTTTTACAAAAGCTAAACAGATTGTAAAAGCCTGCCCTATTTGTAGACCATTACATTTAAGAATTATTCCCGCAGGTGTCAACCCTCGAGGAACTCAACCTAATGAATTATGGCAAATGGATATTACACATGTACCTTCTTTTGGTCGGCTTTCTTATGTACATGTAGTTATTGATACCTATTCTTCATTTCTATGGGCTACTGCTCAACAGGGAGAATCCACTAAAAATGTTATTGTACATTTATTGGAGACTTTTGCAGTTATGGGAATTCCTTCTAAAATCAAAACAGATAATGGACCTGCTTATACTAGCAGAACATTTAAACAATTTTGTGATCTCCATAATATTATTCATATTACAGGGATTGAATATAACCCCCAGGGTCAAGCTATTGTTGAAAGAGCACATGGCACTCTTAAGTTGCAAATTAAAAAATTAAAAAGGAGGAGTCAGGAGGATATTCAGATACCAATACTGTTTAAATTGCAAAACAGTCCAAAAACATTACTGCATCAAGCATTGTTTATTTTAAATTTTCTCAATTTACCACAAGGTGAAATATTAACAAGAGCTGAAAAACATTTTGAACAGCAACAACAGCCTTTTGTGATTAATGAACCTATTTGGACTAAAACAGCTCCAGAGGCTGAATGGGAGAGGGGCACATTGCTCTATAGGGGGAAAGGTTTTGGTTATATCTCCACAGAAAATGGAATTCAGCAGTGGGTCCCTGGACGATGGATCAGGACCCGCGTCTCCAGATCCTGTTCACCAGCCCCGGAGACAACTCCCCAAGGAACCGGAACCGTGCCTTCAGAAGCGAGCGCGAAACCAGCTAGAAGCTGAGGATGCTGAGTTTGTTCCTATCGCAGCCATGGCCAGATTACAGCTAAGAAAATCCCGCCGCTCACAGCGACCAAATTTAAATCCCCTCCCTACATGGGGACAATTAAAGAAATTGACCATAGAAGGGCAACGGCTTGTCCTTCAAGCAGGAAAGCCTTTAAACCCCGAAAACTTGTTTTTAGCTTTATGTGCCTTGCTCACCGTTGCATCGGGGACTGA